AAAAAAAAAAAAAAAAAAAAAATGCAATCCCGCGAGCACAAAGCATGATAAAGCCTCAGGAAAAAAAAAGAAAAAAACGCAGAAAGCAATCCCGCGAGCACATAGCATGATGAAGCCTCAGCATGTGTTCGGGAGTGCCAACAAAAGCTTGCTGACATGTCAGACTGGGAATAGCAGGCATTTGTAAGGGGGGTGCGTACCGTCATGGCAGTGTATGCCTGTTCTTCCACTTGTTGGTGGGCACAGCGTATCCCACATGACTAACCCTTCTCCAGTGGAGTTTGTACCAGCGCCGATAACAATGTTCCCACCGATGAACTCAGCATCACAGGCATGTTTGTTGAAGCACTGTCGCATCTCTGTTGGCCCTATTAGGCCCCCACAATTGGGCATCAGGCCACTTTCCACCGACCACGTGGACACCGTTCCATTTCCAGATGCAGATACGAACTGCTGACCTGTCACGTCGAATCGCACCGCGTTGACCGGGCCCGTGAAGTACGGAGCTGCGACTGGCGATGACGCCATAGTTCCGTAGCACGCCTTTGCTACATGGCCGCCAAACTGCATCATCCGAAGGTGCCAATCAGCATATTAATGGGGGCAAAAAGCCACAAAGAAAGCTCAAACAACGTTAGAAAAACCTCCCTGACAAAGCCCTGTTCAACCCCGACTACCCTCATCAGATGCCAACTAAACCCTGGGTATAAACTTTTGAGCAAACCCTGACCAACTTGACAAGACCCCAAACTAAACCCCTAAGTAAACCCAACCAGACATCAATTGAACCCCAAACTGTGACTAAATCCGCCTAAACCCTGAGTAAACCTCACTTAAACCCCAGTTAAATCCAACTAAGCCCTGATCAAAGATGACAAAATTCTCGTTTGGACTCGTTGAAGTCATTACGCTCTTACCAGAGTCTTACGTTTCTAGGTTAACTGGCATTGTGGTGAACAGGCCATGCTTTGATCGGAGTGGAGAAGATTCAAGATCCAACATCGGGCCTCGCTCCACTACTCTCGAAATGTGCAAAATGGAAGTGAATCTTCCGTTAGAACACGGAAAGACACACCGCCATGATTTTTATCTTTTGTGTCGAGAGTAGTGGAGCGAAGCTTGGGAGTGAATCTTCAGCTAGAACATAGAACGATACACCGCAATGATTTTTGTCTTTTGTGCATGTCGAGAGTAGTGGAGCGAGGTCCATTGTATAGCTACAGCCTATGAGAGAAAGGTGAAGGGAGAGGCAGGCCCATATATCACAGAACAAGATGAAATAGAGGTCGACTGCTCCGACTGCTTCTCAATTCCTTGATGGAATTTCCAGAGACTGCTGCTAGTGCAAGGCCAAGGCCCCGATGAGCCCCTTTTTGGCCCTGTCATGCAATACGTCGGCCGCCCTAAGTGAAGGCAGGCTCGACGAGGGCTTGAGGGCCCCTATTTCCGACACCACGCAACTGAGGAAAATTCAGGCAGTTGTGCAGCGCCAGTTGGTTGAGAGCACCCAGGCCCAGGCCGCCTGTTTGCATGTATGGAAGGTAGGCCCTGGGCTGGATACGGGATATCAGCCAAGCTCAGGCTGAGGGCAGTTGGGCACAAGTAACCACCACAGGCCCTGGGCCTGATTCGTTTGGACTGGGCGTCAGCCTACCAGGGCCTACCGGAAGCTTCTTGGGAAAGGCCCAGCGCAGCAGCTTCCATATAGCAAAGGGCCTGCCTCCGCATTGGCCATTCGGGCACTGGCTGCTTTGTGCACAAGCGCTGCTGCGCTATCGCCTGCCAGGCTCACACGCTCACGGGCGAGCTGGAAGGAGCAGGCAGCCATAGCCAAGCTGCACTGCTGTATGCTGGATGGGGCGCATGGTGGTCCTTGGGTGCAAGTGGCATCTGTGAGTTGGGGAACGAGGTTGTGAGTGATACGAGAGACATACCTGGTGCTTGAAGCGTGCGGCATTGGCTGAGATCTGCTCGTACTTCGGGGAGCTGTTGACGTCATCAGCGGCATTGTAGAGAAGCCTAGATAGGATCTGCCATCTGTAGTCCGGGCGCCGATCGCCAGATAGGATATCAACATTGGTTCTTCGTTCGGGGAGCTGTTGACGTCATCAGCG